TAAGTACATCTTTGGTTAGTGGTCAGTGCGCAGTGCAGTTTAGAGCCCAGTGCTGTTTCAGTCAACAGCAATTTCAGCTTTCTCCTTGACAGAGACAGAAGCAGGCTTTTGTCTCTGGCAGTGTTGAAATCAAAAGCAAAGCTCCAGCGCACATCATCCCTTGCCTTTGGTGCCAACTCAGAAGGCAAGTATCCACCCACCCTGCAAGTATCAGAGCTTAGTGATTATATTAAATCTAGACAAGGCTTTGGACAGTTAAAGAAAAAAAATGGCATGAGTGATATAAATAAAACTGCTACTGGCAAGAAGTCAAGTGAAAATGCATTGAATTTTGAGTTAGTGAATTAATGAACTTTTTTTGTAGTTGCAACCCACTTATATCTTTAAGGATTCCTTCCCACCTCCATTTGTAAGTTCTTCATTACATCAGCTTGTTCAGATGGCTGTTTAATCCTGTCTACGTTTTTTCTTTTTTATGCAGAACTAAAATTTGCATTCTAGCACATAGTTAAGTTTAATCTTCCCTTCTGATTTTTGTTTGGTTTTTGCTTACCTGGTGGTTTTTTTCACTTTCATATTCTATCAGTCCCCTTAGCCATGAGATGCTTTGTTCCCCTGTTCTTCTCCATAAAGGAATCTCTTCATCACCTTCCTTTTTTAGATAAACACTTAATAATCCTGTCCCAGCTCCATACATGTGATAGAAGAATGTCAAGCACAGTTTTCCAGAGATCCCTCTTAGCGTTCTTGAAGTTAGGTATGCTCTCTGTCCATAAACCATGTCGGATGCCTCTATATACATGTAGTAGCCTTAAAAAGATATACAATCATAGCCTAGTAAGAAGCCTAGTAGAAGAGTTGTTGATCATTATATAAAAATGGGCACATGAAACTATTTTGATAAAGAAATGCTCTTGCTCAAACTAGAACTCAGAAAGGAGGGGTTTTTTTTAAAGTATGTAGTGGAATATTTGTTAAATGAATACTAACAAAGGAACACTTAAAATCCTGTGTATATCAGAGGAACACATAAAGGATAGCAGTAGAAAGCAGTACAAAGTAAGAAAATAAATCCTGTAGAAAACTGGTATTTTAATAACACTTTTTTTTTTTTTATAAGAGTTTTCCATTCAGTGGAATTGAAGTGAGGGAGGCAAGTTGAGAATGTTTCTCCTTTTGTACAGTACTGTCCTGTGCAAAAGGCCAAATTAGACCAAAACCAAACATCTAGTATTTCAAGCATAGCTACGGCTTTGACAGAAGTAGAGGTTTAATTTTGCTGATCCAAATTCTGCCTTTACCTTTATATATACAGCCCTCACTTCACCTGTTCTCAGTCCAGGAATACATATTGGTAGTGACTGATTAATCTACTCTTGGGCTTCAAAGACACTCGCATGTACAGTTGAGAGTATAGTTTAGGCTATGGTTAGAGCTGATGCTACTAACAAAGCAAATCAATTTAAACACCTCTTTTACATCACATATGACATCAATAATAATTTTCTTTCTGTGATGTGAACTGAGGATACAAGTGAAGAAAACTGGATTATCAAGAGTCCAGGAGTGAATGAAAGCTTATGTTACGAACGCTGATCTGTGGAAAAATTATTCAGTGGCAGAGAAATTATTTTTCCCTTGACACTAGAATTCAGTTATTTCCAATGGGAGCAAACTGACGTATATTAGAGGACTGGGAAACAGCCTAATGTCCCATCTGCTACATATGGCAACTGCTTTGCATCGTGAGGCATATGCTCCGCCAGTAGTAGAGTAGGCAGCGGGCTCAGATTTTGCAACAGCTGTTCCCATGGTCCTACTGCTCCCTTCTTGCCACATGGGCGAGGAAAAGCTGCCCTTCCGCCGCTGCAAGTAATGACGTTTGCAACAGCCTCGGAGAAGGGGGATCTTAAGGATCACTGAAATGAGAAAAAAACAGAGAATGGCAAGAGCAGCTGGTTGGTGCTCCAGGTGTCTCCTATGATGTTGAAAGTCCTAATATCTAAACTCCTGCTTAAGACATCCTCTTTAAACAAATTACAGTTTGGCAGTAAACAGCAGTAGTAGAAAGAAAGAGGGTGGAGAGGAATAAAATTATCTACAGCTGTGGATCTACAAAGAAAAGACCATTTTCGTACAGTGTGTTGGAGGAAATTCCCAAGGTTGCTATACCAAGCCTAATGCATGCCTGATTACAGGAATTTTGATGTTGACTGTGCTTAAAAGTTACTTGTGTTAAAAATCCAAACCTGTCATTAGTAATAGAGCATAATAAAATAACTTGCTTTTAGCTTTAAGGCCTCAGTGACTAGATCATTTCTAGGTTTTTGAATTCAAATCCATGTTTTTCTCAACACATTTTGCTGCAAACAGATGTGTGATACAAGGACTAAACTTTCTTCTAAATTTGTTTTCTTGTCACAGCCTAGACTTAAAAGATTCTCTTGCTTCAGAATTTCTAAAGGCAAGCTATCAGTCTCAAATCTCAAAATGGTTAGTGATCTACTTAAACAGAAAATAGATCGGAAGTCAGTCTCTGCTTTGGAAATTAAGAAAGTTAAGCTAACAGCCCATTCCTTTTCTTGAGCAAGACACTGTCAACAGTTGTTCCTTCAACAAGTAAAGAGGATTTGACCTTGGGAGCATGAGACCTGGAACATAGAGTATTTGGAAGAGGAAAAATAAGTGACACTATGTAGGGAATGGCCAGGTTAAAAACAATGCAGCAAACAAACCTGAAGACTGAATCCCTTTATTGAATAAAGCTTTGTTACCTACCAAAACAACCAGCAATTTTAGCATGATATAATCCTTTCAGATTGTATTATGTAGAAAAGTGTGCCAGACAGTACAGAAATGGCCTACGTATGCGTCTCCGAGAGGTTCACCGACATTTCAAAATACAGTCACCCAAATGAACTTTAAAATCTGTTAGGAAAAATACTCACTGATTTTAAGGATGGTTATCACACACCTAGCTGATGCAGAACTGGACAATAGGGATGGCAAGGACTTACTGACAGTTCGTCATCTAACTTACTCTCTAAATATGGTAGTTTTTCTAATATTACATTTCCACCTCTTTCATTTTTAAACAGAAAAGGAACAGGAATATCAATATTCCCTTTTGAAAATCATTACACAGTACAAAGGAATCATTATTAGGAAAGTGTTCTTGATATGTAGCCTACATTTTTCCTTTGCGTAGCTTATCCAAAACAACTACATCTGGTCAGAACATGCTCAGATTTACAAACAATGCAGCTGCTGCTTGTTGTCATTTCAGAACACGTAAGAGCAGTTTCAAGGTTTAAAACTTACTTATCCTTGAAGGCTCTTCATAATTCTACCTGGAATCAGCGCTGTTTAGAACTGACAATGGAAGAACATAATTTCTTGGCAGTCTGAAATTTCAAGCCAAATTAAAATATTCTCACCTGCATTCTCAGTTCCACATGCAGGAATTTGACAGTAGAGTCCCATATGCCATGAATTTATACCTCTGTAAACAATGAACTTCTATACCCTGCTCAGGATACAGCCACTACAGAAGTTTTACTAGGGAATAGGAAAGTGACATTTTGCTGAGCATGTTCTTCCCTTGTGAGAAATGCCATCCTTCTAGATAACGTGATCAAAAAGAGGACAAGAGGATTTGTCATTTTATTAACTAGAAGCAAAGAACTTTCCAAAGATTCTTGAATTAAGCTTGCGCAGAGCAGGCTTTCATTTGCACAACCGAAACAACTATGCTTAACATGGTTTACACTCACTCACGGTTGATTGAATAGTAATATTGTCTGGAGAGCCTTTTGGACAGGCCAACAGCTTTAATAATCCAGTGAAAATTTTTAACACCTGCATAGATGGCTACAGTGAATAAACCAGCTTGGCTGTAACTGACTGTATAACTTGTTGAATGAGTGTCATCCACTGTGAGTGAGGGCAAAGCCAACGGCCCACAAAGCCTTTTTAAGCCCGTGTAAACCTTTAAAGTTCAGAAGCCTTAGGGCAGTTTCATCCATTATACTGAAGCCCGTGGAATTATTGCTGGAGGCCTTCACTGCTGGAACAAGAGTACCGAACTGAAGGCCGTAACACAGTTCCTTAGTTATGAAATCCAGCAGATACGACAGTCAACGTGTGGGCAATTCTGACGCAGCCTCCTGCTAATGAGCCCCGCTTGCCTAAATACTTACAGAGTAAAATGGTGCAAGTGGGACTACAGAGCTGGTTTTCAATGCAGCAAACTTTAGTACCTGTGGTTTCTTTGAACGTCGAATAGGAAGGAGTTCATGCAGAAGAGCTGAGCTCCCACCAACTAGTTCGCCTTGTTAAGGGAATATTCACACAAGTTAGGGATTTGGGAGAGGGCTTTTCTGTGGAGCCCAAAGGGGTATTCTGTTCTTTTTTCTCCCAAAAGGGCTACTTTGGGGCATTAGGATCAAATGTTTTACTTTTCCGCAGATAATTCAGTTTAACCATCACTTTCTCAAAACCAGTTCATCTGTGGGTCCCTAAGAAACTTGTTTGCTTAATTTATGCAATTAATGATTGTTCCGAACAGAAGAATAAAAACATTCCCTGTGTTCTAGGTTATCATTTCAAAGCATTTTAGATTAACTCAATCTCTCTTCTGAAAGTTCAATGTGAAGCTTAACTCACCTACCCCAGTAGTGTGGTCTCCTCTTGGTCCAGTGTAAGAAGTGGGAGTTGGACCCCTTCTCCTGTGCCAGCTCCCACGACCTGGCTTCTTCTGGGTGAACATGCACTCATCTTTTTCAAAAGTACACTCCCCGGGATTGGGTGGCAATAGATCTATAAAGAAAGGTGATTGTTTAAAACTGCAAATAGATTAGCCAGATATATGGAGAGATTAGATAGATAAATAATATAATGCGTTCACTCACCTTCTGAGATCGCTTCCTATAGCTACCTAGCAATACTTACAGTAGTCACAAGCCTATAAACATTAGCTTCAAACTGAAATAGCAGATATAATTTCACTTTCTTCATAGCTCTGGGGAAATCTGCATCCTAGTCTGACTCTCTATCATGTTTTAATAGTCTTTAAAACATCTCTTACAGTTTATCATCTCGTCATAGCTCCTATTCTGCAGTGGGCTCTACCAGCCTAATTTTCTTCAACTGCATGGCATCCCAAACAGTTTAATGAGCTCCTGCATGTATAGCAGCTATAATAATAGATCTTGTCAAATATCAGGGTTTCTGAGATCTGCAGTCAAATGGTCAGATTTAGCTTTCCTACATTCCCTTAGCATCAATTCTAATATCACATATGGTGGACCACCGAGACACATTTCCTAGAGTATTTTCAGTGTTTGCAGCTCTACTGGCTGATGCAGAAGAGAGACAGTTTAGAAGTCAGGTGCAAGGTAAGAAAATGAGGAAGTGTCTTTCACATCTTCTGGTATAATTTGTTGTTTAGGAATAAACACTGTAAAGTGCTTTTTTTCTTGTGAAAGCCTCACGCACTCTGGGGTATTGTGTATTTTGTGTTGCTGTAAGTAAGTGACAAGTCCCAGTATGACTATACATCCAAGTATCAGTTTTGCACCTTTGGTTCTTTTTAAAATTCCTTAGGAAGTACAGAAAGCCAAACTGGATAACTGTTGGGATTATTTTATAAAAATAGCATATTGTGTTGTACGTGTGACCTATCTCTAATCAAGAATGGTTAGCTGCCTGAATGCATGAAGTCCAATCAAAAGAGGTCACAAAAAAGTTGTTATCATACAGTAACATGAAAGGCATCGTAAGTCAGCTTCATCACCATTTCAAAGGCATGACTCCAGTCAGAAGAAGAATGGGATTACAGATTGTGCCTGTCTCATGAGAATGGTTTCTAAAATGGGATGCAATTGTTGTATTGTCAGACCTCAAAAAGCCCCAGAAAAAGAGACCCTGGGTGAGTTCAGAGAAGTGAGTCTGTGAATGTCAGACAGTAAAAACTCATTCAAAAACTTTCAGTTCCTCCCAGTATGAGAGGGAGACTTATACTTGTCTTATTTTTGTTCATTAGAGAACTGCAGCTTAGATAAGTGACTACATGTTGGCCTTGCGTAACTGTACTTTCGGATTAAAAAATAATGCTGTCTTTCAAAAATGTTGCCTTTGCGTCTGTTTCTGGTCTCCTAGTCTAAGACTCAGTAGAAAAGTGCATCCCCTTCTGTTTAACTATTTTTCTACCTGCAATGCCCCCAAAAGAATGCCCAAGTATATACAACTGCACTGGAGTCAGTGAGGTTAATTAGGCGTTAGTTGGTACCACCATGAACGAAATCTGGTCCTCGGGATATATACTCCGTAGCAAAAATGGGAATGGGCTTGGAAAATGAAGATGAAAGATGGCATTTTATTAAAGAGGGGAGCGGGAGGGTAGTAGCCATTGGAAGACAGAAATACATGGTCTTACCAGCAGCCTGGCAGCTTCCTAGGCTCAATGAAATATCATCCAGTGCCACAAGTCCACAATCCCAGAAGCTTTTACACCAGCTCACAAAGACAACCTGCAATACATGAAGCAAGTTTCAGGTATCCCTAATAAAAACTGGCACTGTGAACAGTCTGAAATTTTAGATTTTCTGAATGCAGTACTAATTTTGACATCTACAGTACATAAGTGATCAATTAACTTTGTTTTTTCCACATAGTAATTTTGTCAGTGACTGAAATTTTAAATCCAATGCATTTTAGATGTTTTTATTCAGTAGAAACTGTTACCATATTTTTTAAGGTTATTGATGTATCTCTGTACATAGTTATTTTATTAGTGGAATAGGTACTTTCTAGTATATGGGAAAGAAAGTATAACTCACTACAGTTGTTGGGGTTTTCCCTCTCCCCCCCCCCCCCCAAGCCAGAACTGACCAGCTTCAATGTCCTCAGCTGCCCTATGCTTACAACCTCCTTTGGAGTTTCGTCCCTGGGAAAATAAATCTGAAAGAGTCAGGCAGAGCGCTGGCCAACAGAAATGGCCCAGGCAAACTGCAAACAAAGAACAATGGCAATGAGACGAAACTGCCGCATAAGATGAGATTCTTCACGAATGCCACAAGGCCATGATATCACAGAGCAAAAGGCTGGAAAGGCAAAGCATCATTCACAGGGTTCATCTGGGTCCTGTGAAGATTAAGAACAGGGTCCAAGATGTCTTATCTGACTAGTCATTAATTATGCCATGGAAAATGCAAGTCACTCAAGATTTGAAATACAGAGTCAATAAAGTGAAATAAAATGCAAAGAAACCACTGAAACTGTAAGATTCCCAGCTGCCCTTCCCCAAGGCTGACACAGATCTGTTTGGATTAGACAAGAAACAGTAAGGTTTATTTTGTGAAAATATTGCTGGCAATTTTATTTGCCTAACTACTGCAAACCATTTGTATGACCACTGGGGTTATGACTACAATTTGGGAGGGGTTTTTCAAAACAATTCCTTTGTGATGAGGTCTGAGTTAGTGGCTGGAGAAAAATAAATGTCACTTGTAACAGTTTAATGCTCCAGAACAACTGCAAACTCCTCAGTTACACGTTTGAGGTTCAGTGTTGACTGACAGTTTCATGCTGTTACAGAAAGGTTTTTAAAAGTACTGTATCCTTTATTTACTCTGTCTACTTTAATAGGGTCAGTCACACCTTCAGTGTTGTCATTATACAGGATTCTGCTAGATTGCGTTCCTACGTAGTATTTATTTATCCATCTGCTCGTGAAACAGCCTGAGTGGTAATTACACTTAAACCTCTGAAAAATGTACGGATTTTGCTGCCTGGCATGAAGCAGTTTTCAAAACCACTTCACAGTCAGCACTGCTAATCTTGGTAAAAGGGATTATCTATTTTGCACACTGCTACAGGTATCGACCTAAGCAGTGCCCCAGCATAGCACACACAGCAGCTCAGTGTGCAGCGGCCCGATACAGGCACTGGATTTTTCCTGCAGAGCTGCTTTCTTAACACTAAGGTTTGACAGGACAAAAATGTTTTCCTAATTTGTAAGATCATTCTCAAGAAACAGGCACAATCTATTAAAAATTAAAACATGGTAGCATGTCTTGGAATAAATAATACAATGAATACTGACGTTGTGTAGATGTCATTGACTAGACTACTTAGCTGTTAATATGTGCATTCTGGCTAACATTTGTACTAAACTAAAGATATATTACAGTCCCAAACCCAAGAATCTTCAGAAAACCACACATGAAAGGGTGAAGTCAGTTCTCGTTTATGAAACAACATTTCCGCACAGTGGGCCTAATCATGTTCTAAGTGATGTTTTCCTATTGACGTCATTGGGAACAGGATCAAGTTCTTTATTCTTAAATTGCAGTAATTTGTTCCATACAAGGTATGTAATTACCCATTGGATCCTGCAGAAAGCAGTCCATTTTAAAAGCATCCCCACAATAACCGTAGGTCTGTCAAAGGTTTAATTGAATTAGTACTCTTTATACAAAAGAGCGATCTGTTTCAGGTACGCTTGTAAACTTGTTCAGTTTTCTCATTTGTACCTTTAACGCTCCTAATTCTTCACTTGCTTTTTCTGGTATTGAATGACATGCTGCCATGAGCAGACTTCGTAACTGAACAGGGTTGGGCGAGAGTTTGTTAGCCTGTGCTTGGGAATGTGGAATTTCCAATATTAGCTATAGCATAATGTACGGAAGTTGTCTACTGTCCCCCGGCTGATTTTCTTGTAGTCTTGATTTGTTTTTGAGCAATGGGACAGAAGATATTTTTCACAGGTCAAATGTGTTCACTCCTCCTTTGTCCCAAATACCTTTGGCCCTTCTAGAGTATTTGAACTTTACCTACCAAAATCGTATCAACTTGGGTATTACTCAGCCACTCATTTGCACCCCAGGTTAGATCTCTGAATCCCTTCTACACTCTGCATAGGACTGCTGTTTCATTGTGACTTAGATTAGCTCTTGTTTTGAATTAAAATATTTTCTAAGTTGATTCTTCCAAAAGAAATCTTTACAAACTTATCTCATGCCTTGGAAGAGAGAATAGAGAGATCTTTGTGCTCAGTTCACACTTTCTTTATGAAACATGACAGATGAACAATATACTAATTGTCTTGAACTAGATAGCAACTCTTCATAGGTTTGTATGCTTTCCTGGAGGCAAAAATGAAAATGTGATCAAATACAGGGAGCCATTGTCAGCGTTACCGAAAAACAAAACATATTTTCCTCTTCTGCCTCTTCTTGTTCCAGTAAGAGGAGATGGCCAGGGCATTAGTCCCTTCCAAATTATTGCCGCAAGTTCTGGAAGCTTACTTGTTTATCTTCCAGTGTTTAACCAATGTTATTGACCTACAGCCTCAAAAGTATCAATGATCAGTTTTTATCATTTATCCTGGATTATATCAATAATGAGTAACGCCAAATGAGAACAATTAGTAGAGCAGGGAAGGTTCCATTTCTCCTATGATATTTTGTTGAGTTTTGGCTCAGATACTGAGTTAGGTACAAAGGATTTCTCAGCCTTACCACTCTGCATCTCTATAAGCAGAAACGAGCTGAAAGTAGGCATATAAGGAGAATACCTGCTTCTGGAGATAAAGAAAGAATAGGAGATGGGTTAAGTCTCTCAGTCAAGAGGTACAAAGACAGGACTAATGGAGAAGCTTGTAAAAGTAGTCTTGAAGGAGCTGGACTGAGAACAGGAGAAAAGGAGAGAAGATGCCCCTAGATCCTTCTGGGTCCTGTGCGTTTTCTTTCATACTTGTAGGAATAGCTGTTGCTCAACTAGAGAGCCAGACCAGACAAACAAGAGAAAAACCAGGACAGTGGCCAAATCTGGTGACTGGAAAGCAAGCTATGCCTTTGCAGCAAATTAATTTACCTGGTTCTATCCTGCTATATATTCCTAGGTTTAAACTACATACGGTATATCCGTAGATATCTAAAATTTGTTCTGTAAAGTAGACGCATTGTTAGATCCAATTTTTTAAAGCCGAGAGAAAGGCAGTTCTAGTGGAGTCTGGGTTGGGTTTCTGTGAAGAGCAACAGATGCAACTTCAAATACTGTGACATAAAACTCAGTATTATGAAATCCAAAAAAGAATTCATTTGAGCATCAGAAGCAAAAGTGTGACATGACACAAAGAAGTAGTCAGGCATTTTAACAAAACAGTGAGCCTCACTTCAGTCAGTGACACCAGTATGCAGCTGTGTAAGCGTATAAGCCATGCAGCTCTCTGGCACGGTGAATCAGTGAGCTGTTTGGATTGTCCCGGGGCTGTTTGACACAAACATCATCTGTTCAGCGCAAATTACTTTCAGGTAGTTGAATTAAACTAGATTTTTAAATGGCTTGTTTTCATTTCACTTACACAGGAAGTAATTTATCAAATAATGGAAATAAACTATTAAGCCAAAATCTAGGCATCTGCAACCTTCTGTATCATTTTAAACAAATTGATTTAAAAGGGCACTTGCCATGCAAGTTTAATTCCCTTGCTATATAAATACTGCGAGCTGCAGTGGGTGAAATAATAGATCGTAAAAGTTTCCACATACATACAAAATTGGATAACGCCAGTACAAGTTAGTGACCTTTGAACAAATATTTTTGAAAATCTCTCTTGTCCAAAGGCAAATAGGTTGCAGATACAAACAATGAAAATAACCACAAAATTGACAGAACAAGCTAAGGCCACAGGCTGTTAATGCTGCATCTATATTCAGTGGATAGCACTTTCTAGTACAGAATACTGTCTGCACAGAAAAGCTGATAGGCCAGTGATAACGTCTACAGTCCCCTAACGCCCTGCTAGATCCCCAGTATTCTCTTCCTACGGCTCTAACTTCTTTTCATTGAAACTGCTGTGTTGGCTCTTTTTGCAGGGGAGAAAGGTTCTCGCCTTTAGACTGGAGTCTTTCCAGATGATCCGGCATAGTAATATCACAATACTAAGTACTGAAAAAAAACAAAAACGGACCAGACAAGGAAATGCGAGTTAAGTATCACAGACACCAAATGGAGGCATGTAATAGTAGTGCAATAACAGTGCTAGTGCAACATATCCCTTTGCTTAGCTACTGTGAAAATGCAGGTAACTAAGACAACACCTTCTGACCAGAATCATTTTTACATTTGTTTCAAATATATTGTTTTCATAACTGTATATCAAATATCACAGACTGTAGGGTACACATTTTGCAAACACTATTGTTACTATTTACAAACCCTAATGTTGTTATTTTAGGGCATCCTCAGAATGACACTTCCAATGACTGCTCTTTGAGATGCTTCATGTTTGGGAGAAGGTGGGAGAAGGAAGGACAGACGGGGCTTACTATAATACTGCAACGCATTCCAGCATCTTTAAGCAGCGTATCTTACCAGGCAAAGACAGAGCAAGAGTTGTTTCAGAACCTTACCAAAATGCTCTTTTACCTGACACAAGTGAGGGTTTTCCAGGAGAGGAGGAGATGAGGACGAGGATGCCCCTCTTGCACTTCGTATCTGACCGAAGGACTGTCTTTTACAGATTTGGCCGCGGTGATCTAGGCCTTTATGATATCCAACCCCGGATTCATCACTTACCTAAGACTCAGGTGTGCAAGCAGGGGACACAGATTTTTCAACAACAAAGGGAAAGACTGGCATAATTTAACAGAGATGTTAAAAGTCTACTGTTTTGCTGAGCATCATCACTGTGACGCTGTGTGACAGCAAAGGTCCCACCACCCTCATATCAAGCCCCGGGAAGGGGATGAGGGAAGAATGTGATAAGAGACGTTTAGGGAAAACGGTAGAAGAAAATCTTAACCATAAGGCATTCTTCCTCTGAAATATAATGTTCATCTTGCAGAGAGCTGGTT